GGAGCGGTGCGAGAGAGACAACTGTCAATTTATCGAACCTTGTATTATTCAATCATGGTGGCTAGCTGCGTTTCAGTGATCGCCCATCGAGGTTTCATTTATTATTTTACATTATTTGGATAAAGAAAAGTTACGCAAATTCAACATCGATGTGATGCTGATAGAAATCTGGATCAATTTGTGATCAACTCTGTTTGTTTTGTTTCCTATGTAAGTGAGGAAATTGTAATTGACACCACCGACAAATGAACATATATACATATGTATATGTTCTATTATAAAATGTTTGTTGTTTATTTAATAGGTTTAATTAGAAATAAAAAAATAAGAAAATAAAAATAAAATAAAAAAATTTTTAATTAATAGTTAAAAATTAAAATTAAAATAAAAGGCAGATAATTATTTAAAATGTAAAAAAAAAGTAAATTAATTATATTGGAAAAAGGAAAAGTAAAATAAAATAAATTAAAAATTATAAATTTAAAAAATGGAAAAATAGATATTATATATGTATATATATTTAGAAATATAAAGATTATATTAAAAAAAAAGCTTAATAGGATTTTGTAAAGTTTAGATTTTTAAGTTATCATATGATTATTTGAAAGGGAATAATTTAAACGAGTTTAAAGGGTTAGAGATTTTTTTAAATGTTTAAAAGTATTAGCCTGCCTTAATAAATTACGTAATTCACGTAGATATATCAATATTCTGTTCAACATTTCGTTTAAAATGCCAGATTTCTTGCAAATACATTAGAATTNGGCCCTGTTATGCATACTTGGCATTGCATGCACTGCTATACCATTTTTACGTAGAAATCAAAAACCAACAGACTTCTACGTATGTAGTGATGTGCGTTCGATAACCGATTAAACGCGAGGCTCATTTAACAGATTTCTTATGTGACAGCTCTCAAGCCATGCCAAGTATGCATAACGGAGCCTTAATACAAGGTTATGTATTTTGTGATGGTGTGTATCTAGATTTGTATTTTGGAAGTAGGAGAAGGGGAAGAATGTGATCGCCTTTTGCGAAAACGGTAGTAGAAAGGTACTACAAAAAGTACGCAAAGTATACAATTAGAAGTAAAATGTGTATTATTAATTCTATGCGAATTTGAAATATATTTGGTGTTTTAATGGAAATACTAAACAACACATAAAAACATGCATTTTTGATTTCAGTTATTCGTCATTTCCTGGAAGAAATCGAGAATACCGACCCTTCAGCTATGCAAAAACAAAAAATGCAGATCAATAGAACTTTTTATGCTCATTTCAACCATGCCAAAATTATTTGGCGAAAGTGAAAAATGAAGACGTTCTAGAAGGTTAAAGTTCAGTTTTTAGATTTTTAAATATTAATATCTTATGAACTATATAACCGATTAAAAAACTAATGACGTCACCATGAAGATAATTAATTTTTCTTTCAGCTTATGTACATAATTTATAGCTTTTTTACCAAAACCACTAAAAAATGAACCAATGTTATTTTTTCATGAAATGAAAAAACTGCATAATTAATGATAAAGAAATTTATATTATTTAGAAAGTACAAGTTATTACCTTTAATTCGATATTACATATTTTGTCATGATCTACTTTTGGGTTTCAACAATTTAGTGATAATAAAAAAT